GATGGAGTAGACGCTGCCTCCCGACGTCTGCAGCACGTGCACACACTCCAGGTTCCGGATGTCCCAGATCTGGGAGAGATGGAGCAGAGGCAGGATGAGACCCTTCTCCCCAGGGGAGATCCCTTGCAGCCATTCTGCCATGCACAGAGCCAGCCTGGCTCCCTGTGTGCCCAGATCACACCTTTAGGCACAAACCCATCCAGCTGGGAATGTTCAGCACTGCAGAGCAAATCCCTGTTATCTTATTTAGCTGCCCAACTTTAAATATCCAAGCTGGAAAGGCTGTGTGGAGACTTCACACCCTCTGTGTGTGACTCCACACACAGCCCAGTCCTTGATAGCACTAAACCCCAACGCAGTAAAATTAACAGAGATTCATTAACCCTGAGAAGGGCAACTTCCAATTTTCCTGTGTCCCCCAGACAGTTCACCCCTGAGAGGTGACCTATTCATCAGAACCTGAGCCAGCACAGAGGAGGGAGGGCACTGGGAACCCTCACACGGATTTATGGCAGCTCTGCAGCCAGGCACTGACCTTCCCCCGTTATCAGCAGGAGTGTCAGTGCAGATAAGGCTGCAGCAGCCTCGAGGCGCCAGGGCTGAGGCCCCAGTTTGTCCCAGGGAGCCTCCCCAGCAGCTCCCGAGGCCCAGAGATGCAATCAGCACAGGAAACCCCTCATGTCAGCAGTGCTCTCACATCCCAGCAGCTGCCTCTGGTGCTGCTGCCCCAGTGCAGAGCCCAGAGAGGGACAGGGAGAGGGGCTCAGGGTCCCACCTTGATGGTCTGGTAGGATCCACTGTACAGGTAGTTCTGGGAAGCCACCAGCGCTCGAACCCAGTGGTTGAGACCTGTCAGCTCCTTCTTCAGCTTGAGCTCAGTTCCCACAATATCCCACACCTGTGGAAAGCAGGGACACACACAGGGGGAGGAAGCTCAGTGGGGCTGGGCAGGACACAGCAGTGCCCACCCTCCCTCCCAGCCCTTGTGGGGATCCCTGTGCCAGCTCTCCTGCCTGATGAGAACTGCCTGATCCCATTGACTTGCAGATAAAACGCACAAACTGCTGAGCAAGCACATTCCCTGAGGGAGCCAGCCTGGAGCCTGCATTACTGCTGGCAGAGACCCTTCCCTAGCAGAGCCGTGCTGCAAAGCCCAAAGCACAGCTGCAGCAAGGAACTGCCCTGCACTTCCCCTCCCAGCCTGGCACACAGGGACTGGCAGAGCTCACTCCCCCCACTCTGAGCCCGCCTGCCTCATTGGCAGCAAGTGGCCAGGGATGACAAACCCAAAAGGCCCCAAATTCTCCTTGTGCTGTGTGGCTGCTCCAGCCCTGAGCCCTCTCCAGAGCTGAAGCACTCCAGGCCCCAGATACAGAAAAGAGCACAGTCCTCTTACAGATGGACGGGCCCATAAGCTGTCTCACCAGGAGCTGGAAGCACAACCACAGGAATCTAGCCAAGGCTTTAAAGGGCAGCCTGAAAAGCTGTTTCTGGTTTCTGCATGTTTTAGGTAGGGAATGCAGACTCAAGATCCTTTGGAGGTGGTTTCAAAACAGACAGCCTGAATCTGCAGCCAGTTCTGGAGCCCAGACACAATTCCCAATGGTCTGGGCAGGTCTGTTGGGGACCTGAGGACACACAGGCTCAGGAACTGCCAGGATACTGCAGCTGCAGGTTTAGAGCTGGAAGAAATACAGTGCTTCTGCAGCCAGAGAACAGCTTTCCCTTGAGCACAGAGCATGGCTAAACCTCTGCAGTGCTGGCTGCCCTGTGGCTCAGGAGACCTTAGCAACAAGGCCACCCACAGGTTAAAAATGGCACTTCCTTCCCCTTTGGACACTTCTGCCTCAGAGTTTGTGCCCCTGGTCCCCAGGGAGCCCCAGAGGAGCCCTGGAGCTGCACCTTGATGGCTTTGAGGGAGCCACTGAAGAGCATGTTGTGTGAGGAGACCAAAGTGCAAACAGGATTGTCGTGTGCTCGGATCGTGTTCACCTTCTGCAGGTTCTGAATATCCCAGACCTAAAACAAGAATCATGGAATGGTTTAGGTGGGAAAAGCCCTCTAAGGTCACTGTCAAGCCCACCAAAGCAGAGCACCCATGAGGGGCTGGACAGGCCACCCTGCCCCAGCCCAGAGCACCAGCCCCCTGCTCCCAGGGAGGAGCTGGGAGTGGGAAATGCAGCCTGCAGGAAAGCCCCAAGCCCACCCCAGGGCTGGATCCAGCACAGGAGGGTTCTCAGTGCCCCCTGGCACAGCAGGGGCAGTCCCTGCTGCCGTGGGTGCCCTGTACTCACGATGATGGTGCAGTCAGCAGAGCCACTGTACAGCTTGTTCCTGCAATGACACAAAGGGGTCACTGAGGGACAGTGCCATGGCACAGGCAGGACAGGGGATGGAAGTGTGAGGGCATGCTCAGGGGCCCCAGGGCTGTCCCCACTCTCCCCAGGGACAGGTGCCGCTCCTCACTCACCCCTGGATGCAGAGAGCCAGCACAATTCCATCGTGACCCTCCAGGGTCTTTTGGCACTTGTACGTGGTACAGGTATCCCACACCTAACAGAGAACACAGGGCTGGAGCCTGGGCAGGATGGCAGCAGCCAGAGGAGGAAACAGGCTGCCTGGCACCTGGGCACTGCCTGGCAGCTCCCAGCCCTGCAGGCTTGGCTAGCACAGGGAAAGGGCTGCAGAGGGCCAGGCTGAAGCAAATGACACACAGCCCAGCAGCTGCTCCAGCTCTGCTCCCTCAGGCCAGGCCAGCACCACACTGAGACACAGAAGCAGCTCTCAGGCTCCTGCTGTAGCACTTCCCACCCATGCCAGGGCTCCAGTGGCACAGCACAGCTTCCCCTGCCACTGCAGAGGCTTTTCCCTGAGCACACAGGGCTCTCTCAGGAGGAATGTGGTGCCCAGAGCAGAGCAGGGGAGAATCTGCTTTCCTGCCCTAATGCACAGCAATATCCATTTCCCTCCACGTGGCTCTACAACCAGAGCTCTGCTCCTGGCAGGGTCAGCTATGGTGTCCCCAGCCTGGCCAGCAGCCACCAGGGTGACACTGGGCAGGGCTGCTGAGGCTGCACTGGGGCAGTGCTGTCAGCCTGAGTTACTGAAAACAGGACAAAGGAAAACAAACGTGCCATAAAAAACAGGGAAAGGACACATCGGATCAGGGACGAATGTTTTGTTCAAAGATGACTTTTTATGACAAAGGAACATAAAATCAGAAGCTGAAATAGTCCTGAATACCCTAAATGCCACATAAAGCAAAACCAGCAGCTGCAGGAATGAGATTCTAATCTTGGCCTTGCAAAGATCTCTGCTTGTCTCTCAATTTCACTAGCACATAATGTTTCCTTGCAGATAATTTTGTCCAGCTATAATCATAAAGAATCATTTGATTCTTGGGAGGAAACTTTAGGAAGCAACATCCACCCACCCCACAAACGAACTCAGCTTCTGTTCCATGTGCAAATGCAGAAGGGGCATGGAAGAGGGAAGCTCTCACCTTAATGGTTTTGTCTGAGGAGCCACTGAAGAGCAAGTCTCCTATGGAGTACACACACAGACACCACACGGGGCCCTGGTGGCCCACAAAGGTCCCCTTGCACTTGAAGATCTGCTGAGGATCATAGGCTGCAGAGAGGAGAGCCAGGTGAGGGAGGGCAGTGCTGCTGCCCTGCACAGCTGTGGGAGCAGCCAGGAGGGCTCCCTGGGCTCCCCACACCCAGCCCAGCCATCATGGGGATACTCACATCCAAGGATGCCCATGTTGAGCCGAGCATTGATGTGGGAGAGCTCATCCTGAAAAGCACAACAGGCTGTGTGAGCTGTGGGGCCATCCAGGCCAGCCTGCCCTGGGCACGGCTTTAGGACTGTCCCTTCCACTGCTCCAACCCCTCTTGTCTTCTTGATTCCCACAGGGCCCTTCCTGAGCAGCCAACTCATCCCCTGGTCTCTGCTCTACTCTGTGACTGCCACCTCCCTCTGTCACCTCCCTCCAGAGGCCACAGGGCTCTGACAGCACCTCAGAGCTGCACCAAACTCTCAGTACTCAGAGAGGCCCAGAAATACCTCTCAGAAAATCCTGTCCTCACCCTGCAATTCCCCACACTGCTTGGATCTGCTCATCTCCCTGCTTTCTGGGGACAATGCCCTGTAAAAGGCCCAGGCTTTGGAGCAGAAGCTCTCCCCAAAGGCTCCCCCCACTGCAGGGAAGCCCAGGCCGGGGCAGAGCCAGGTAACTCCAGCCCAGGGTCCCTCCTCACGTTCAGCATGGAGGCGTCCCTGCGGAATTCCATCAGGTCCTCGCTCAGCTTGCTCTGGTTCTCATCCAGCACATCTGTGAGACAGGGACAGGCCCACAGTCACTGCAGAGCCACTGCTGGCACCCCAGGGAACAGGCAGAGGGCACCCACTGCCCCCCAGCCTGGGAACACACCACTGCCACCAGCAGGGAGAGCAGCCCAGTAATGCAGCACAAAGAGCTGCCCTGTCCCTGCAGCTCTGAGCACAGAGCTCGTGTGCTGCACGCTCACCAAACTTCAGCTCCAGGTTCTTCTCCAGCTGGTCGATTTTCTCCGAGAGCTTGCCCAGCATGGAGCGCAGGAAGGCGATCTCCTGGTCCTTCTGGGCCATGGCCACCTGCATCTCGTGGAAACGATCGTCCGTCTGCTGCAGGAACTCCTTCAGCCCCTCGAACTTGCACGTCTCCAGGTGGGTCTCGTAGGTGTCCTGGTTCCCTATGAAGGCACACCTGGGGGAAGGCAGGTGCTGGCTGGAGCAGGGCTCTCCTGGAGCCTCCTGGCTCAGCCTGTGTGGGTCCCCAGCTGTCCTGCTCCTCCTGCCAGCAGCAGGGATTCTGTGGTTCCTGATCCTTCAAAGGGTGGGCTTGATCATGGTAGAGGTCCTTTCCAGTTTTAATCATTCTGTGATCCTGCTGGGAGAGGCAACTGCAGGACAAGAGAGGCCAAGCAGCTCCCACCCTTCCAGCCAGGGCACTGGCCCCAGATTGGACTGTCTGTCTGTCTGTCTGTCGGGGAAGGAAAAGCAGATCTTGGGCAGGAGACAGAGGGTGGTGTCAGTTTGTTGGGCTCACCAGGAGCCATCAAAACCAGTGGAAAAAACTGCAGCTGACCCCAGCAGATGCTGCCTTGGGCCTGCAGCATGGCACAGAGTCAGGGCTGCTCTGCCAGGACTTGCCTTGCTCTGCCTCTGCCAAGACATGGCTCAGGATCATGGAATCATAAAACTGCTGAGGTTGGAAAAGGCCTCCAAGATCATCAAGTCCATTTGTTCCCCAAGGCCACCATTAACCCATGTCCCCAAGTGCCATATCTAAGTGGCATTTAAATCCCCTGGGGATGGGCACTCCTCCACTGCCCTGTGCCAGTGATGGAAGAACTTTCTGTGAACTCTCCCTGCAACAGTAAAGCCAAGTAGGGGCTGCCCTGGGGCTCGGGTGACAGGGAACCCTCTGGGGTAGATCAGCACTTCCCTTGCCTGGGACAAGGCCTGCTTGGCAAGACACAGCCATGGTGCTCAAATTACTCTTGTCCTCATCCCCCTCTCTTCATGCTGACTCTCCTCCAGCTCTTCGACCTGTGCACTCACCCTCCTCATCCTCCTCCTCACCGTGACCTGTCTGTTCCCACCCCGAGGCTGCAGGGCTGCCTCCTGCCACTCCTGGAACCCCCAGCTCAGCCTCAGGCTAATGCACAGCACTGGGAGGGCTGCTCAGAGCCTCAGGCCACCCCAAGGCTGCAGCAGCCACAAAGCAGCTCAGTCATGAGCTCAGTGCAGTTCCCCAGCCCAAAGCATCAGCTCCTTACCCGTATTTGGAGTGGGGACACTTGATGTGCTCACACTCCTTCAGGTGAGCCTCCAGGTTCATTTTGAGGAGGGGAGGGCAGCTGGGGTTGTTGGGGCAGCGCACGGGCCTGTAATCACAGCTGCTCTCATGATCCCTGTGCACGGAGAGAAACAAAGGCAGGAAAATCAGCAACAAGCAAAAATTATTGGGAACAACACAGATCCTCAGGAGAGGAGCAAACCAGCCCTGGGAGCCTGTCAGATGATCCAAAGCCCCCTGCTCTGAGGCTGCAATTCCAGCTTTAAATTCCCATTTGGCCAGAAAATTGAGAGTAATAATAGGCCACATTTTCACAGGGCACATCTACTTCTGCATCTGATGGGCTGAGCCTTCAGGCAGCCATCAACAACAGGAATGGACAAGGAAAACAGGGATGGTGAGGGAGATAGAGTTAAGATTCATAGGATATAATGAAGATAACAAAAAGAATCCCAAGTTCTCTACTAGATCCCAGCCATGGAGTTTCATCCCAGATGTGAGATGGCTGCTCTCACAATGCACCCCTGTCCCAGTGCTGGCACTCAGGGAGCAGAAAACAGCGTGGTACCCCGGACACCAGCCCTGAGCTGTCCCCTGCAGCCACCCTGCTCATCTCCCTGGCACAGCCAAACAGATCAGGGCTGGCAGGAGCTGCATGGCCACAGGGCAGCTCGGGCAGGCTGGGCTGGCAGTGCCCTTTCCCTGGGGAGGATCCCTGGAAGGAGCACTCACTTCCTGGCACTGAGTTTGATGGTGAAGGGGCAGCCTCGGGGGTCCACCTCGAAGGCAGGGCTCTTGCTGCTGGCGGCGGGCCGGCAGCCGTACTTGCAGTGGATGAACAGCTCCCCAATCTGCTCGGCCACCGCGATGTTGTTCACCACCACCGTCAGCTTGGCGTTGTCCACGGGGCACTTCTCTGCCAGGGAGGGAAGGATGGCACAGTCACTGAGGGCTCACACAGGGCACTGGCATCTGCCAGAGCCCCTGCATGGAAATTGTGGTTTGTGCCTTCCCTGGTGGGGTCAGCCAAGTCCCAGGTGAGCGGCCGTGGAAAAAGCCAGGAATATTCACACAAGGCCTGCCAGCCTTCATCTTTGGTTGTCTTGGGGTGTGGGAAAGTTACAGTTTATGTTAATGCATAATGATTGAGGGAGCTGCCAGCGAAAGGAGCCCACACTGATTCAGACTGCCTTGTGCTGGCTGAAGGGTGAGTGTTCACAGGCACTGAGCACAAATCACCACATCCCCCAGCCATAACCCGCTCCTCACCCAGGCCTGGGCTCAGCTCCTGATGCCAGCAACCACTGAAACCCAGGACCATTCAGCTTGGAAAACACCTCCAAGATCATCGAGTCCAAGCCTTGGACTGATCACCACCTCGCCAACTGAGCTCTGTATCACATCCAGCTGTTTATGGAACACTGCAGGCATGGGGATTGCAATTGCAAAGCCTTTTGCCACAGATCTGTGGGCTGGGGTTGATATAGCAGAGTACAGTGAGGGGATTAACATGCAAAGCAGAGGGACCTCTTGTGTGTGGAACACAAAAATCTTAAGGCAGAAAGAGCTGCTGCTCTGCAGGACTCCCCAGGGAGCCTCCTCAGGGCTCACTGTTCTGGTAATGCCAATGGCTTGGCTCTGTGCTGAACAACAGCTTGCCAAGAGGGCTTGTGCCAAAAAAAGTCTTTTCTTTGCAGCCAGAGTCCAACCCAAGTGGGAGCTGGTTAGCCCAGGCCAGCAGCCAGGGGCTTGGGCTCTCCCAGGGCTCTGGAAGAGCTGGGTGAGCTAAAGCAGCTCAGTGGGGCTCAGTCAGGGGCCAGAGCCCTGGCACTGAGGGGATGGAGAGAAGGGATTGATGCCAAACGTGGCCCCTGCTTCTTTATCCAGGCAGCCACAGAAAGCTTTCAGTTTGAAATCAGTGGGTCAGCTCTGGGCGAGACACGTATTATCCTGGGATTATCCAGTGCATTTTCCAGCATCTGAGAACATCCTGTGCCCAGCCCATGCTCCAGAGTGCACCAGTGGCCCCCAGCCCCTCACTGCTGCAGTGCCACGCCTCACTGACAGCTTGTTTTAAGCCCTGTGGACATTTTTCTGCAGGTTTCTCTTTAGGTGAAAGCAAATCAACCAGGAAATAAGAGTGTTCTGGCTGCATCACACAAGAACAGCCCTGTACTCACCAGATGTTAAGGCACATCTCCTGCAAAACGTGTGCTGTGGAGACAGAGAGCAACAGCAGCGTCAGTGTAAAACCAGTGGGCAAATGATTCCCTGTGGCTGCCCCTGGGAAAGGGGGGACACAGCACAGCCTGGGCTCAGAGCCTCAGCAGCTGCTCTGCCTGCTCCAGCTCAGGGCAAACCCCAGCTGCTTGCTCAGGGTGAAGCACAGGTCCTGAACACACAGCTTGGAGCTCTGACCTTCTGCCTGCTCAGGATCAGGCCATGATCAAGGTGAAAGCCAAAGCCAGGGGCATGTTCTGCCACACTGATATTCATGGGGTCACAGAATCCTGGAATGGTTTGGGTTGGAAGGGAACTTAGAGATCATCAAGTTCCAATTCCCTGCCATGGGCAGGGACACCTTCCACCAGAGCAGGGCTCAGAGCTCCATCCAGCCTGCTCTTGGACACATCCAAGTCTTTCCTACCCTCCACATCAGCACAGGGTTTCTCTATGGGTTTCACCCTCCCCTGTAGCCCATGTCATCCCTCTCACCCCTCTGAGAAGCCCTTGGGGAAGGGGAAGCCTGGGCTGTGCCCTGTGCCTCTCCCTGTCCTTGCCCAGCCAGCCCACCACATCCATCCCTCTGGAGCCCTCTCAAGGCAGCAGAGGCAGCCCTGTCCTGCTGCCAGGCAGATGGAACAGCTGGTTTGTAAGCCCATTAAATGCTCTGTAAATTTGAGCACTTTAAATAGCTCCCCTCTCCGTTGTGACAGTTTAACTTGACAAAGCAGCAAGCACAGTCTAACACACTAATGAACACAAAGGCTGCAGCTTTCACTGGTCCTGATCCTGCCCTGTGCATTCCCTGGAGCCTCCTCAGCCACGCTCCCTGGCCAGGGAGCCAGTTCTTGGCAGGGCTGTGAGTCCCCCTCTGGAGCTGTTATCTGCTGCCCTGCTCCCATGGCCTTTTCCTGCCCAGCACAGCTGCACTGAGCTCCCTCCAGAGCAGGACTGCAGATGAAGGCAGGCTGCTTCCTGCAGTGGGCCTTTTTCCACATTAACCACTAAATCTCAGTGTCTCTGTGCAGAGCTGCTCACTGGAATGCTGCAGCCAAACTGCAGCAGCTTGCAGCACTTTTGGGGAATGGCACCCTCGCTGCAATAAACAATCCTGAGCTCTGCTGCTGCTGCCCCAGCCCCATCCTGGTGATCAGATCACGTCACAAGCATTAGAGCCATCTCAAAGCCATCTTTCTTCACAAGGAGCACAGGAATAATATACAGCTTCTATTAAACCCCAGTAAAATGGAATCCAGAAGAATATTCATAACACCTCGTGCCTTTCATTTGAGGATCTCAAATCCCTGTGCAAGCATTAACTAAATGAAGCTTCAAGCCATTCTTGTTTTATAAGCAACCCTTCCTTCACAACTGAAGCACAGCCACTCCTGGGGTGCCCAGGAGCTCCTGCAGAGCCCTGCAGGAGGAGTTTCTGACCTCATGGAAGCCACAGCAAGGAGACTGAACATGGCCAGGATGGGGTGGCCGGCAGTCCAGCTCTCCTGGGAAAAGCCATCCCACCTAGTTTTGCTTGGCAGTCTCCAGGGAGAGACAGGGGACAGTCCAGGCTTGAGTGTGGCTCAGCCAGGGTGTTTGGGAGAGCCATGCTTACCCCACAGGTTGTGATGACGGGATCCTTGAAGACACTGCAGCACAGCTGGCAGCACAGCTTCACAGAGGGCTGCTCTGCAAACACCAGGGGCTCCTGCAGGACACACACAGCGGGGGTTAGTCCAAACCAAGAGCCTGCAGCACTGCAGGAGGAATATCACAACCCCTCAGTGCTGAGCCTCGGGGAGCCTGGGGCACACTGAGGGTTTTTCATGGCCTCAACATAAAATTCTGTCTGGATCTGCTGAGTTCCAGTAGGGGAAGGATGAACTTGGGAATGGCTGGGGACCCTCACTCAGCTCATCACAAACTGGAGGCCACCAGCATCTGGCAGGATCAGCACCTGACAGCAAACTGCACACACCAACTCCAGTGATTCAGTCACAGGCTCACTGCATGAGCTGCACTGGCTGGGACTTTCTCCTTGGTTGGCCTGAGCACAGAGCTGTCAAAATTGTAGTAAGCCTGAGCTGAAGAGCAATTTTAGAGCAGCCTGCACTCTTGTGCTTTTGAAGCATTCTGAAGGAAGGGCTCCTTCACTCCTCAGGAAGCAGAAACAGCATTGTTTCTGCTGCAATGGGCCCATCTCTCCAGTTTTGTTTACCAACTAGGACAGGCAGCACAGGGCTCCAAGCACGTCCTCCCAGAGCACCACGGCTCTCCATGCTCACATTTCAGAGCATTTCCAATCAATCTCTGCAGTTCCTTCTGTCTTTTCATCCTGTGCTGCTCTCAGAAATGCAAACACAGCCCCCTGGGTTCCCAAATATGAAACAAACTCTTATCCTAGATCAGTGGCAGAACGCCGCCTGACCTCTAATTCATCAAGTTTGGGGTTGGTTACTGGGTCACAAGCTAAGCTCAGTTTAAAAGTACCCTCCCCCAGCATGCAGACAATTCCTTGCACCCTCCTGGGGCTTACAATCAAGTCTGTGGGGTGCCACACAGCCCTGAATGGGGATGGAGCTCCAAATCCATGGGGAATTGTATTTTTTTGCTGCCTGGGGCCAGACCACCAGCCTGAGCCTTGCAACCCGCCCTGCTCTGCTGCAGGGCCAGGGAATCAAGCAGGACTTTGCACAGACTTACACAGTTTTTCTGGGAAGCAGAAAAGCCTCACCATTGTCCTTGCTTTCCAGGCAGGGAAGTGGTACAGGAGGAAGCAAAGTCAGTGGTGGAAACAAAGTGAAAAGCAGGAGCCTGACGCAGGCACCGCACAAAATCTGCCCCTGAGAGCTCTGCGTACTCACAACAGCCCACTAAGTTACTCTGCCACTGAGCTTCCTAATCCTGCTCCTTGAGGCAATCCCAAATACCTACTGGCTCCTCCTCTTCCTCGTGGAGCGAGAACGTGGAGCGCAGGGACATGTTGGACTCGGAGTGCAGGGAGCGGACGGAGATGGCGGAGTCGGAGCGGCGCGGGGTGCTGATGGGAGGCTGCGGACACAGGGCACCTCTGGTCAGTGCCATCATTCCCAAAGTGCAGGCACGGCCCCCAGGCTCAGCTCTCCCCCTCCACAACACTTCACTGAGCGGCCCCTGCTGTTGTGCCCTTCCCTGCCCTGTGCCCAGACAGGAGTCGCTGGGGTTCCACTCCCTAAGCCAGGCTGACACCGACATTCCAAGCACATCACCTTCTCCAAGGGGCATTCCCTGCACACTTACCGTGCACACCCGCAAAGCAACGGCCTGCAAGAATTAATCCTTCATGGAAAGCTCTGTAAACCTCCCCCAGAGACCGCTCCAGCTCCTGCAATGGCTCTAATCTCTGCAGCAGCACTTGTTGTTGCACTCACTATCTAACTTCTGCCAAATTTCTTTGCGTAAGTGCGGAGACTTCCTTCTATTGAATTCTCTGTGAGCCCGGCTCTGCCGCTTCCTGCTCGGGAGGGGAGAGCAGAGCACACACTGAGCACCAATCCAGAGAGATCCTCTGCCATGGCAGCCCTGGGATTGGCTTGGAGGGAGTGCTGCTGCTGGAATATTAACCACAGCACGTCTCCCAGGGTGGAATGGCAACCACCAGCACGTAGCCAAGGTGCCATTCGGTGTCAAAGCACCACTGGAGGCTGCAGACCGTGGGGAGGCTGGATCTGAGGAGCCAGTGCAGCTGGGAGCGCAGCCACTGAGGGGTTAGTCTGGGAGAGGTGCTGCTGCTGGACTGGAAAAGGTGCAGAGAGGAGAAATAAAGGTCTTCAATGAGCAGAATGCATGACTGGACAAAGAAACGGAAGAATGAAACCAGAAGCTTCAGACACTTCAGACAAGGCATGGTGGATGAGCATCTGCACGTACCACACTCTCCAAGGCCTGGCTGCAGCCCCTGTCAGTCCCCAGCCCTGAGCAGTGTTGGCTGGAAGGAGCTCTGGAGATCCCTGGCTGCCCATTGGAAAAGGGACTCTCTACCTGGCCCTGGCCCAGGCCTGGCACTGCCCAGGGAACAGGGAAAGCTGCATGACCAGACTCTGCTGAGCTCCTGTCCTGCACCTTGTGGTGCACCACTTTTCCTCATGTCCATGTGAGCCTCAGGAGCTGCATTCTGTGTGCCTGCCCTGGGTGAAATGGGTGACCTCAGAGCCAGACAAAGGCAATGCAGGAGGGCAGAGGGGCAGCAGGAAATTCAGCAATGAAAGCTGCAAGATGAGGTTCAGAGGCTGCTGCCCTCCCCAGAGACAAAGCTGCAGTCCCAGTGCAGCCTGGCTGGGCTGCAGGAGAGCAGCAGACCAGGATCCTGCTGCTTCCTCACTCTGCTCTGCTGCCTCATTTTTATGATCCTGGGCTCTGAGGAACTCAGAAATGCTGCATCTGCTTAGAAGCCAAAGCATAAATGTCTTTCTGTTAAAGACAGCATATTTATTGACTAAATACATAAACCTTAAGGAGGAATGGTTATAATGAGGTAAATCCATTTTATGTGTATCCATTCATTTTATGATTTTCCTCCACTAGAAGCAGGAATTATTAAAATAACCAGAATGACTGTGCACAGTTCCCACTCTGGAGGTGACAGGGGGTGAGGGCAGCAAAGGCAGGCCCTGCAGGGAGGCAGGTTTGTCACCAGCAGCATCCAGAGAGGATCACCAACAGAGAAGAGGACTGCAGCATTCCAGGGGTGTGAGACACAGAAGGTTTGTGTAGGACTCTGGGCTCAGCTCCCTGTGTCCTGGTTTGGATAATGTTGGTGTTAACAGCAGAGAAGGGGATGTGCTGAGAAGGATCCCTCACTCCCCGCAGGCTGGGGGGAAAACAATGAATGGCAGAGGCTGTGCTGGCAGTTCCAGACCCTCTGGGTATCTGCAGCCTTGAGCTGCCAAGCAAACAAGGATAAAACTCAAGGGACCTCATTTCTGCACTAAACATCAGGCACACCTTCAAAGAGCCCAAGGATGGAGCACTCAGACATCTGATGGAAGATGGAGAGTTTCCACCTCTGGCTCAGAGGTGAAGCTCCCTGTAAACAACAGATCTGGACAGGCAGGCAGCCTCCATCCATGGTGTCCAATGTTCCAATATTGAGCTGCAATCTCTAGCTGCAGTTCCCACCACCTCAGCAACAGGAGCAGCCTCCTGGTTCCAGCTCCATGCAGGCACAGCAAGGTGGGGACCTGGGGCACTGTGCCCAGGCAGGATGACAGCAGCAAT